CACCACCACCACCACCACCACCACCACCACCACCACCACCACCTTCTCTTCTATCGATGCTGGCGCGGAAGTCTTGTGGCGCTTCGTCTGGTCTTGTGAGTTCTGACCCCAGGTGGGCATTCCTCTGCTGGTGCCCATCAACCTGCTGGAGATGCCCGAGACCATCCCTGACTTGGAGGCGGCCGTGCGGGCTCTCCGCCTCGCTGAGGCACGGTGCGCGAAACGTTTCGGTGTGTTTCGCTTCGCTGAAGAGGGCGAGCGAAGAGGGCGAGCGAAAGAGTCCTTCTTCTGGTGCCATCCACATCCGAAAAGAGATCTCAACTCTAAGAGGATGTGGTGCCATCACCAGGTGTGCATGAGGACCAATGAGGACTCGCTTTTTGTTGTTTTATTTTTTGGAAAGAGCCATGTTTCACAGGCCATGCTGGTTGAATGGGGTTGAGTGGAAGGTCGGGTTCCGAGTGAGTGATGAACGAAACCATGAGCCAGTGATGGGTCGAAGAAGTGTTGGATTAGAAAGACTGCTTTGGCTCAGGGAGGTTTTTTTTTCATGGTTTTTCGACCAGTTCCACCAGCGAACCTTGGTGATACCCTTTCACTTTGGTTTTCTTCCAGCGATCCGTCCACTGTGTAGGAATGGGTTGGAAGGTCTGGTTCCTTTCGCTGAAGGCCTGTAGGTCCGCCATGACGTGTGCCAGGACCAAAACCACCGCCATGTCGTGTGCCTTTTGGGGTCCCCAGGACCTGGAAGAACCACAACAGAACAGAACACTCCCCCGAAGCCGTTGGGTTGGCCGGCTTTGTCCAAAGAAGCGAAGCCGAGCGAAGCTCTGCGCTAGAGAAGGAGCTGTGTGCGAAGCTCTGCTTCGTGGGCTACGAGCGCTGCAAGTTCTCCAACTTCCTGAGAGTGGCTCTGCTGCAGCACGTCTTCACCGAGCTCATGCCCCTGCCGCTGGGGCCGCTGGCGGAGAAGCCGCCCTTGAACCTCACCGATCCAGCCGCTTGGACCGTGCGGGAGGGCGAGGACGAGGTAGGGCGGTGGGGTGGGGCGGTGGTAGGGCGGTGGGTGGGGCATATCTCCCCAGCTTGCATGAGGCATGATCTTGGACTTCATCTCTTATGGCTGTGAGAATCAAAGAGAATATATCTTGCTCCATACATGCCCGGAGAGTTAAAGGGGGGGAAGGAACCTGAAATCGATCTTCAACAATCAATCCAGCCTCCCAACCAAGAGCGACAAGGAGTCCCAGGAATGCTCCAGCCAATCAATGCGTCCTATCTTATATGATGTTCATATCAACCTTCTCGAGAAAAACCAACCATCCTTCACCCCCGCCACCCCACCTCATCTCTCTGCTATCTTCGAAGGTCTGGGCGCCCAACGGCAGTAACGAGCTCCATCCGCAGCTCACACGAGGCGGTCAGCTGGAACTCATGCAGGCCGGAGTTGGTGGCGACGGTGTTCGGAAGCTGAGGGGACTGGATATAGAGCTACCAGATGTTTCGCTTCGACCCAGAAATAGTCTGAGTCTGAGTCGTAGAAGGATCCTACTCAGTTTTCCGGAATCTGGCTACATTTGTTGGGCCCGGATGGCTTCGTGTAGCTGTGGACATCATGAAAGTGACTGAAAGTGACGAACGGGACACCTGCGAACCGGCGTGTTTCCGAACGGGCGGTGATGTACAAGGGAAGAACAGGCGCCATCCACGGTGGCGGAGGGCCGGGCCCCACGCCACGCGATGGCACCACGCGGCTTCAGGTCTTGTTGAGGCTGGCGGAGCATTTTGTCTCGGCGGCCTGTGGCTTGCACGCCTCAGGCGGGGGACCGGCCAGCCGAGACCGGCGTGGAACCGAAGGGAAGGCGAATTGAGGAGGTGAAATGGGTGCTGAACAGTCCACTATGGATCCACTGCCACCGAACCTCAGAAGGTAATTGGACCCTCCAAGCCTACATAAGAAATAGTCTCCAATCACCTTCTCAGAAGGTATGTGGATCCATAGGGAGTAGAGCTCGATGTTCGTGTGAAAACTGACCCCGAACCTTGCACCTTTCAGAGGGTCCGAAAGAAGAACGGAAAGCCAACCCAAGCTGCCGGTGTGGCCGGCGCAGTCTTGCCTCCGCAGACATCTTTCCTTTGCTGCCCAGAAGGTCAGGGATCAATATTTATGATCCATTCCTTCAACAGGTGACGTGTTGGACCCGTAGTTTTTACACATGCCGTTGACGGGTCTAAACGCTCAACTTGTTCGATTCCCTCCCTGCCCTGTGGCTTTGACAAAAAAGAACAGATACATCGAACATGACATAACAAAGACCAGCACCACGGATATACGGATTCCGGGTGTCCATGAATAGCCCCTTAGGGGTCAGTCGGGGTGTCCATTATACAACCACCCCGACTCCGACAGGGGGTAATACCTGGGGTAACAAGGTCGACATGTTCTTTTCATTCCCTCCTCATGTCGATCTCCACTGTCTGTCTCCAATGTCTCCCCTCCCCCTTCCATTCGTCTCCCCCTCGCCCGCCCCAGGCGGCTTTGACGGGGTCAAGATCGTGGTCTTGGGTGCCATCGCGGCCATCGCGGACCGGGTGCTGCGGATCCGCACGGTGCTACCAGGCCCGGTAGAAGACGACACGGCGGGGGTTTCGCGCACCGTGGGTTTAGCGCGGCGCGGACGTGTTCCGCAGCAGCACAGGTGCTCGTCCGAGCGACAAGAAACTCCCTGCGGCGCCAGAGGTTTCTTTAGATGTCTCGTGAAATTGGATCGGGATCATCAAGGATCACAGTCTTGAGATAAGTGCTGAGACAGAAGGAATGAATCAAACGCTGAGATCATCGGAGATCCCTCCCAAAAGGACTCACGAAGATGGAGCATCCCAAACTCAACCCCCTGGTAGACTCTTGAGATCTCTTGAGCATGATTCATGATGATATTTCAACCTCCCCTACTTACTTGTATGGCCTGAAGAGGAGGGGGCTTGGCTTGATGGTGTGATCCTGAACCCTTCCTCCAGGCCCTCCACCGGCCTTCTCCAAACCGCCGTGACCGTCACCGGAGGCATCCCCAAGCCCCAGCGCGAGGGCGGGCCGATCGTGGCCGAAGCCGAGCCCTGCCCCAGCCTGGTGTCGGATCTGCTGAACGGTGTGGGCGGCAAGGGATGGAAACCCATGGACGCTCGGACGTTTGGAACGGCGTTTTGGAAGCTGTTCAGAACATATGCCGGGTGCATGGGTGGGTGGGTACTAGAAGAGGGGCAGGTTTGGAGGTGGTTTGGTGGTATGGTGGATATGTTGGATGTTTTGGGTTTCACTGGGGCACCAGGAGTGGTGGAGCACCAGTTCCTTCATTTTCGATCCTCCGGCTTTCATCCATCTCCATCCTTTCGAATGTTTTTGGCAAAGCGGTTTTGACAGACAGATGTGTCCATCTCCCTCCCAAATGGTTTCGGACCATCTGAACAGGAAGAAAACAACTCACACGCCGCACCGAAAAAGGAACACACACACACACACACACACACACACGCACACGCGCAAAACAACACCTATACATACTCACATACAAAACACAACAAGCACCCACCCAACAAACACCCACACCCACACCCAGCCTAAAAACCCTCTCACTTCACTACTCTATAACTGTCTATATACTCCCAAAAAGGGGACACCCACCCCACCCCAAACACCCGCTTCACCCATCACCAGACACCCGCCGTCTCCCCGGAGCCCTCCGCTTCCGCCCCACACCGCACCGTGGCTTCCAGGCGATCGACCCCACGAGCTTCATGCGGCAGTCGGAGACCATCGAGGCGGTGACGCCCGAGATCTCGGTGGCGCGCACGGCGGTGGCCAGCTACTTCACGGAGGTGAAGAAGAACCTGCAGGCGCGCCGAAGATGCGTGTGTGCGTGACCGGACTCTCATGTGACCGGTCCAGTCTGATCCAGCCTGAAGCTTTTTTGTGGGCTTTTTGGGGGTTTAACCTCATGGAGCAGATGATTCTTTTTGCATGACCGGCTCGAGTAACATGAGGTCCTTGAGCTGTAGGGCTCAGCCGGGCTCAGCGGCTAAGCTCCACCTCGCCGAAGCTCGACTTCGATCTCTGTGAGCTTTCGGAAGGATTGATGCACCCTCGCAGCTCCCCCCTCAACCCCCCCTCAACCCCCTATAGAGGATCGATCGATCGATGTGTGCGTGGGCTCCGCGACGCGCTACGCGCGGCGCGCGCAGAGGTGCCCAGCGGGAAAGATCAAACGCTTTTCGATTGGGACCAACATGGCTGGATGCTTTGGGTCAACAAGGAGTCAGGCCGACGGCATTATCGTCGTCTTCCTTGTGGGTCGGATGGAGGTAAGGACCATGGACCTAGGCTGAGGGGCTGAGATCCGATGAGGGAGGGGGGAATTTCCGATGAGGGGTCCTTTCCTATGACATCCCGTGGGTATTTGAAGCGATTGAGGGTTATTTGAAAGACGAATGTCTTCTCGTGCACCTTCTGCCCAGATTCCAAAGATACGCCGACATGGATTGATGAGAAGATACGCAATTCCTTGAAAGCCTCTCAGCAGGTCGAAGACGTCATTGAGGAAATGGAGACGTCACTGTTGACGTGGCGAGGATCAGAACTTGACACTCTGTCTCCATTCATGGTCTTTAGCAAAGGTGCCGGCTCTTGTTTGGACCATTCGCCACCTTTCATGCATCTTTTTTGCCTTCGCCACTTCTCGCACTTCTCGTTTTTACTTGGGACGCGGATATGGGCCGAAAGGGTTGGAGGGGAGAGAAAAGGTGCTTCATTCTTCCGGGCTGCGACCAGGTATACTGATTTCAGGTCGAATTTTCATGTTTCTTCGTTTGCGCAAACTTCTTTTTTTGGGAAATCCGGTCACCCTGGGCCCCTGGAAGAACAGAAGAACAGTTTTTCCTAAAACCCCACACGTCGGATCTAGATGCCGCATCATCCATCCGTGATACATCATCTCTGATCGATTCTTCACCTGGACTTCGCCCCTCCCGGTGACTCCAGGGGCTTGATCCAAGAGCTGCTCCAGCTGCTCAGCTGAGCTGCTTCTCTCACCTCGGGCTCCATCCCGAGATCGGCGCCGCATGGCTCCGGACCTCGGCCGACAGGTCTGAAGAAGTTGGTTCAGACCATTTGCTCCCATCACCTCCTTCAGGCGGCATCTACCGCGCGCGGCCCCCGAAACGGAACCCGAGTTCGCGAACCATCGATCGCGAGGGGAACGAGTTCAGTGGAACGATGCGCGGTTTTGGGTTGCTGCAGGACCTCTTTTTTTCCGGACTGGAGCCCTTATTTATATGGTATATTGTATGAGCTTTGTCACTGAGTTGTATTTCAGATAGATGAAAAGGACGTATAACCACTTCCTCTGAGTCACTCGTCCCATGTTTACGTTTTGGCTCCCCGTTCGCTGTTTTCGGGCAAACCACCCAGTGGGGGCGATGATTGGAGAAACTGATCGGAACGGACCTCCGGCGTAAGCTCGCGGTGGGGCTGAAAAGGTCCAGATTGGGTGGGTTCTACCAACAGAGGTTGAAGAACCCGAACGTTCGACTATCCCAGTTCGGTATCCCAGTAAGGTCCTAGTTCAGGTCACTTAACCTTTTTTTTGGTACAGAGGTTTTTCGGGTCTGCCAAATGCAGGATTGGACGAACATGAAATCCAGGATTTGGGCTCTCAAAGGGCATTTTTAAGGGATCCCAAGTTCAGTTTGTTCATCCATCATTGGGGTGATTCCGCCAAACGTGCATGTTGGAATCCCGAATCCCCTTTGACGAAAATGGTTTCGGAGGATGGACATTTGGTTGAAACATCTCCTTTGACTCGCCCCCTTCGGGTGGGGGCATGTGTCCGGCTGATGTTTTCAGGCTGGCGGCGGATGGGCTGACTTGGCTGCTGGCAGTGATCCCTATCTAGCTTCTTGGATGGGCAGGTTGGACAGATCTCCCGACAGTCGAAGGTGGAAAGTCTGAACCAACGGATTTTTTTCTCAGGTGAGTGAGACGGTGACGTCTCTCACTGGCGTTTGAACCTGTCATCTATTCACTGGGTTGGTCGCACGCACCCTTGGAGGCAAGCGAGGGAGCACGCTTGGAGGCAAGCTACAGCAAGCACGAAGTCACACCCTTTTGCTGAGAGCCAATTCGATGTAATGGGCTTGATAAGGGTCCTCCCTGCTGGCGCCTGGCCTTCCGACCAGCAACTTCAGAGATTTTGGCAGATGTTGCCTCGGTCATCTCTCATGATCCAAAGGGTGGGAGTGGCCTCTTCGTGCTGCCATGCGAGGTTCACACATGGCCGGAGTTCCAATGCTGCTTGGCTGGAGCTTCCCTGAAAAAAAGGACGTGGAACACGGTGCCGAAGAACCGGAAAGGTATAGTTTAGATGGACATGTCGTTGATAGGCTGCCACTTCTTTACAGGCAAATCTGCTCAGCACAAGGCTGTATTGAACTTGCAGGAAAGGAAGAGCCCTCCCCGTGCAAGAATGATCATGGCATTAACCCGAGTTTGGGGCATGCCCACAGCCGCAAAATCGTGTCCATCATGCAGAGAACTGCACAAGTCATCCTCACTCAAAGTCATCCTTTCCATCAGCTCAGTCGTTTCGTTCGGGAAGGAAGACTCGTCGCCGGCCCCCTGCGCCGCCGCGTTGGGCCGGATCCCTTTGAACGGCGCCGAAGCCAGGCTATCGCGATATCATCTTCTACTGGAAGTATTTCCTTTGCACCGACCTGCGCGTCTTCCCCAAGGTCAATGCACCTCAGATGAAGGGCGGGGCAAGAGATTCTTGAAGGACACCTAGATGAATAGTGGGTGAGTGGTTGTCAACAACGAGCCGGAGGTAAGTTGTGGTTGGTGGCTTCCTTATGCAGTGTAGGGCTGATTGTATGGGTTCTTCGGCCTTTCGATCAACTCGCCGCTGAGGAATATGTGCCGCAAAGTGCCTACCTCAAGTGGCAGGTGGTGGATGAACAGAAGGCCTTTGGCTGCCCGCCCAACCGAGGCCCAGCCGACGTCACGCCGGATGGAACATGGAAGCAACGAAGGAGACGACCATGGCCCACCCCCCCAAAAATGACCTTTGATAGGGCTAGTCATCTGGGCCTTTATAGGGCTAGTTACCTACCAGGACCTTCCAACAGCTGGTTTTTGGACATCTCTTAACCTCTAAGAGGCTATTTATAGACACCTCTTGGTGCCGGCCTGGTGGGATAGTCTTGTTGGGGTTCTTCAACCTGACATGCCCCACACCTTAGGACGTGCCGAAGGATCCGCGATTCGCGCATCTTACTCTTTGAGGGTCATTGGAACTCTGGAGACTCTGGAGGAGAGGTCACACCCAGCGCAAGCCCAGCGAGAAGGTGGATGAGATGCCGCATCTTCTGTGAGGTGTCCTCTTCGAAGAAATGATTGAGATGCCCCAACAGACATGAATTCCGAAAAGCAATCACCGCCATAGTCTGAGTCTTAGTTGCTATTTTTGCAGACCAAAATACTCCAATGGTTCCCGTTTCAACAGGATGGGGCGTCTCCTTCTACACAACCATGAAGCTTGTCCTCTTTGAACCGGTCCGGTCTCCCTCTATGGCTCCCACCAGGAACCAGCCCCTCGTCGTCCCCCGCCACGCCCGCCACGCCCGCCGGTCCGCCCGGTCCGGGCGCCCTCCCGGTCCGGTCTCCGTCCACCGTCCCCGGAGGTAAAGTCTTCTTGGTCTCAGCGCTTGGGAAGGATCCGGAACGGGCGGTCCAGACGTCTCGCGCGTCTCGAGACGAGAGTGGGGCGTTCTGGGAGCTGGGTGCGGCGGGTGCTGGTGTCGGTGTTTGGGGCGTTCTGGTGTCTTGGAGAGCGGTGTCTTTGGTCGTTCTCGGTGTGGATGGGACTGGAAGTTGGGACTCTTGGTTGGTGGCTGCTCTCAGGGTCATGAGATTGAGATGATGACCCCTCTTGGCGAGAGGAGAGACCTTGGAGGGGTCAACCGTTGCCGATCGGGTTCTGAGAGGTTTTCATTATAGGAAGGTTTTCAGTAGCTCTCTCCTCGAGGCGACCGACCTGCGCCCAACAGAAGAGTTCCACTTTCTATAGAATCCAGCTTTTGATAGGGCCTACATATGCCTATATACATATGCCCACTCTTTCGCTCGCATTTCTCCCCTTGGCTGCCAGCATGCCCCTATACTTCATTCCCCACAAAAGGGACCCGGCTCCGCCTCCTCCGCTCCCCGCCTCCTCCGCTCTCCGCCAGGAGCATCTGCTCAAGCACGATGTGCCGCCGCATCGGCCGAAGCCGCCCGCCAGTGGGCTGCGGTGGCCTTCGGTGCGGTCGAGCGACGCGAGAGACGCGGGAGACAACGCGGAGCGCGTGGCGTGCGGAGACGCGTGCGGTGGGCGGTGGCTTCTGCGATGTGGGGTGGGTGGTGGTCGACGTGGATGGCGGGGTTTGGAAGGGCTAATTGGACAGCGCTAGAACTGCACAGTCCCAGTGGTTCGTCAGCTTCCCTTCGCTGTTGGGGGTGATGCGACTTCTGTCTGCACGACCACGCCTCACCGGTGTCCGAGAAGCTCACATATCTGTGTGTCTTTCGGTCGTTTCGTCCACCGAGTGCAGGCTTTGATCTGTTTTGCGTAGACCCAGACGCTCCAAACAGTCCCTGGTCCATCCATCGGGATTTCTTGGAGGGTTCCGGACCCTGACCCCAGGCTTCGGGCTTTCAGCCCCCGACTGAATCACGGAGGGTCACTCGGGTCGCGTCTGGGAAGGCCGCCCTGCCGTCGCATCACACTAAGACGCCTGTGAGCAGCTTGGCGAAAGATCCACACCCTGAGCTTTCCCAAGAGTCTCTGTGGTTCAAATCCCCAAGTGGTTGTCTTTGACCATCTTTCCCCCTTGTTTTGTCAAGAACATGTGTCGATGAACATCGAATTGTTGATCAGCCTTCCAGAAGGCCAGCTTTGAAGTCTTGGAATGACACAGTCTGGGGGGCAAGTTCAATCAATTCGCAAGAAACGAGGGATTTCCGGGGGTGGATCCTGGCAGGCACCTCTGGCCCACATGGCCCACATCACCCCTCCCGATTCTGTAGGAACTGTCCGTCTGAGAAGCATGGGGATCGTCTGGTCCGAGACCACGACTCACCGGATCCTCCTTTCGAGCGCTGGGCCGCCCTGCTTGGGGGGGTTGAGGAACGGAAGACGACTTGCTCTACATGCGGAGCCTGCCGACCTTCAACGAGATGCTGCGGGCCTCCGACTCGGAGGTCCAGCCACCCGCCGCTTTTGTGGGTAAACACCCTGAGCCGTCAAGAACCCTGATACGTCATAAGTATATTACCATACCATACCACCATACCATTGAGTTCCTTTCACGTGTTTCACGTGCATTTCACCACTGGTGCAAGTCGCGAACAGTCCTTCACAGTAGTTGTGCATGTACCAGCACCCTCCAACAAGTCACCAATTGAAACCGGTTAGGGCCTAACAACCCTCCAAAGGAGACCTGTTGGAGGGTGCTGGTATGTTGAGTTTCGAGCGGTGCATCGCGTGTGGAGCGTTGTGCAAGTCTCAAGAATCCTGGTAGGGCCTAGGGTGACCATGTCAGGTGATCTATTCGGTTCATGTTGGGAAAACCAGGGGTTTCCTCCCCGGATGCCATAACCCACTGCCCGAGAATCCTGCCCATGTGAAGGACGATACATTACATGTCATTGGCTGTTCGACTGAGTTGTCTTGCCTGTGCTGAAAGGCTCCACTTGGTCACGGAGAATGGAACGGCATTCTCTTGCAGTCAAGACCTTGAATTCGCATAGACATGCGTAGACCAAGCCAAAGCCATCCATGGTAAGGGAAGGGGTTGATCATGTCCCCTTCTGCCGCCGAGATGTGTCGGATTCAAGACGATTAAACCCGCTGCTGGAAAAGCACCGGGAGGCCTTGCTGTCCTTCTTGACAGTGCCCTACATCCGAATGCCACTGGTGCTGGCCTTCTTCACGACGGGAGATCGGGTGAACAGCTTGTTCGACCAGGGGCTGCAGCAGATTTTGCAGGCGGAACGGGTGGGTGGGCGCTGGTGCTGGGGAGTTTTCGGCTTTTTTCCCGGTTTTGGGCTGGCGGATGCAAAGGGAGATGGTTTTCCCCTCCAAGGGAGCATGAAGCTTTTGTGCACCGAGGGGCGGTTTGAAGGGGGGGACGGCGACTTCGTGCCCAACGACACATGGATGGGTCATTCGAACAGGTCTCCCTCTATCGCGGCACAGACCCTTCTCCCCGGAACCCCCGAACCCAGACCACGACCCGTGTGGTAAACCACGTGAAACAGCCGCTCCCGAACGCCCCTTGAGTAGGGGGGCTACCACCCGTTGACATCACCTCTTCCACCTCAACCCAACACGGGAAAGCCGCTCCCCAACACGTGGAGGCACCACCCGTTCGTTCTTCCTCCGAGGCAGTGATCTTGGAGCCCGGCAAGCTGTTGGAGCCCATGAACTGGGCCGCCGCTCCAGTGACTTGGACCGCTGGACGCTCACGACGGGTGGGATGGCGTCCTCGGATCCGCGCGGAGGAGAGGAGAGAGGGGTCGAGGAGCGAAGAAAAGGCTTTCTTTCAAAGGAATTACCATAGAAAGGATGGGACACTCCACTGAAACTTCTTGAGGTGCTGAAGTTGTTACAGGATGGATCGGAGGACAACCGACCGCACCATCGGCAACTTCGTCTTCGGGCTCATTCGGCCATGCGCCGAACGAAAGGGATCCATCATGCACGACCAGGGCCTTCAAGGGGTGGTTTTTCTGAACACCCGAATCACGGCTATATAAGGGGCTATAAATAGACACCCCGACAGGAGGGTCCTGGTATATATTTTACTGGTCCGGTTGCATTTGGGGACATTTTAGCTCCACTTTGGGACATGTTCGACATGTTCGGGTCCAGTAAGTCTACACTGCCTGCAGCAGGCCAGATGAAACACCGCCTGCTCCTGTTTCATTCTTGAATAGGAGGCAAAAACATATGGCTCGAGGTAATCCTGGTAAAAAAAACCGACACCACCGTCATCCTCTGCTTCATGTTCCACTTGGAGATGGAGATGGAGCACCCTGACTCCAACGGCCGTGGGTCCCTCACCGGCGCGCTCCGCACACCGCCCGGACCTCGCGCGCCCGGACCTCGCGCGCGCGCCCAGGAGAACGTGCCGGCGAACTCGTCGGCGGAGCAAGAGCTCGTGGCTTCGCCCTACGGGCAACTCTTGACCGATGCCCAGAGCGATTTGGGGGGGTGGACGGCGGCGCCGGTGCGGTGGTGAGGGGTGAGGGGTGAGGATGTGTCATCCGAGATGGGTTTTGGGGCAAAAAGAGGGAGAAAAGAACAAGAAACATGGAGAGATGCCCAACAACATCCAGAAGTTCATTTTTGCACCAGGGAAAAGATCGTTGACAGTTTGACTTTTTGTTTAGATTCTTTGTGCAATCGAATCTATGATGTCTGGGTGGGGAAACTGTGATTATTTTCTTTCATTTTCTTTCATCTGGAACCACATAGCAAAGACCCTAAAGACGATCAGCACGAAAAACACACCCCAAAGCTCCTAGACCCTTTCTTGGTAGCCATAGAAGCCTGTGAAGGGAAGGCTCCTAGTTCACCGGCGCGCAAAGCGCCGACCGGCGCTTGTTTGGGGCGGCGTTTGCCGGGTGGAGCGAGCGCGCTCAGCACGAAGCACCGCACTAGAGGACCGGTCAGTGGAGGGAAGCATCCAAACGGTCAGTGGGGCTTTTGGATTTGGTGGTTTTGGAGGGAGTCCACACACTCCCCAAGGAAGCCCGAAGGTGGAAAACCACCCTGGTTTGAAGAGGCCCAAGGTTGGGTTTGTTGTCATGTTCATCAAAAGGCAGTGAACATTCAAGTCAAAGGTCAGGTAACATTGAAGAGTGCATAAACTGTGGTGAAGTCTGGTAATCATGAGGCATGAGGCTCAAGTATGTCGAAAAAAACCTTCCTGAGTCGAGGACATGTGCTGAACAGCTCCGAAGGAGTCCGCTGAAGGTGATCTGTTGAGATTACTTTGGTTTCAAGAACAGCTTCAAATCATTCAACTGGGCCTGGGAGCTCAACAGGATTTCAACACCCAAAAACACCTGAGGTGAATCCCAACAGAACTTAAGGTAGTATAGTCGGTACGGTATTGTGGTAAAGAGGATCCACTACTTTGGTTTCTTCGTGCTGGCTTGTGCAGTCATTACCACTTAACGCATGTTCTGCGATGTGTCCGACGCTTATCCGATTTGGCCCGGCTTCTCGGCTCAAGAACGGGTAAATATTTAACGAGCAGTTTGTGATCGCTTGGCATTTAATTGTGGCTTAACACTCGAGGGCCCTCGAGTGCTATCGAGTGCCTTCCGGAAGTGACGCCGAATGAACTCGCTGGCGTCAGAGTTGCAGCCACCCGTGGCTCGTAGCACCGCTTCAACCTCTGGTGATTCGCGTGCTGAAGAAAGCCAATCAGGGTCCGCGGACTCCAGGTCCCAGGACTCCAGGTCCCAGGACTCCAGGTCCCAGTGGACGACGGCAGGATCAGGCGACACCTCCACTAGTGACCTGACAGCATAAACTTTGAGAGGCTGGACGCATGAGTCATCGGAAGTTCTGGGGTGAGGGCAAAGGGGTTTTGGTGCGGAGAGTCTGATGATAGAATAGCAGATGGAATAGGAGATCCTCAAAGTTGATTTAGACTCAACCTCAGAGTGATACTCCTATAGGATAAACACCTCAAAGTTTAGGTCCTCTTTGCTCCGCACGACCAGCTTGGGGAGAGTCTGATGGAATCTGATTCGGTCCAACCGAAATTGGTCAAACCGAAATCCCAGTGAAATGACCCTGCCGGGCTTGGTCCAAAGGAACACGACCACCGGGGCGTTGTGTTCCTTGGCGTTTCTGGTGTTCCTTGGCATGTGGCTCGGGTAAAGTGCCCTTTCTGGTCGGATCCATCGAAGACTTGGCCGGACTTGGCTCCAAATATTGTGCAGCAGGCTTTACAATGCATGCAATATACAACTGGGTCCAAAACTGTTGGATGCACACATGCAGATGCATACATAGCAATTAATTTGTGAGGATGTACTGGGATGTAGGCATATTGATCATGTACGGGATTCACAGCAAAACTCTGGGTCAATGGGTAAACCAAGAGAAAGCCTGCATGGTTCATTCAAAGCTTCGATTAAGTTGAACGCGCCATTTCTGAGTTTTGCTGATTTCAGTGGGAATGTCTCATATTCTCTCCAACCTCCATCCAATTCTGACCCCATTGGACCGCGTTCTTGGATCGCGTTCGAAAAACGCCGCGTTTGCGGTGATTCCAGGTCAGGAGGAGGATCACAGCAATGGCAGATGCCAACCATGTATTTTCAATCAGTCTCAAACAGGATGTCCGATGCCCGGCGGAAATGACTTCTGCGGCGATTTTCCAGGAACCGGACAAATGGCTTGGAGTTTAGACATTGGTCTCCTAGACATTGAAAATGAACAAGATTCCGGACTCCATGATTCAGCGAAGGAGTCAGTGGTGATGAAATACTGTACAGATAGGATTAAGAAACTGTATACTGTATATTATATATATCCCCTTTCTCAGTTTGGTCCGCCTCGTTCCGGCAATAACAACCGCCTTTCATGACCTTCCCAATTAGTTTGGTCCACCTGTCTTGGGGCCTCTTTTTGCGTCACTAACGATACTAACGGCCTTTCTTTCCTTCTTCAACCCCTTTAATTTCACCAATCAATCCCTCATCCCATGGTCCTATTGCCAGTCAATTTATATAGCACCCCTTCTTCAAAACTTTCAACACACATTTTGCTGCTGCTGGCTCATTGTTGGCACGTACCTTTGGCAGTTTGCGCATTCACTGCCAAAGTGGTGGAAATGCGCAGCATGGCGCAGCAACTGCCCAGGTGTAGTCTTGATGCTCATCACCCATGTTGTGTAGTCAAGTGTAGTCTTGATGCTTCTCAAGCAACTCATCCGACTCATCCATGTCTTCAGCCTCCTCACTCAGTTCTCCAGCCCTTGGACTCGATTTTCATCGCACTGTTCTGAAGACCTGCACGCAAGCCCTCCAAACTCACAGAATTCCAAGGCCACCCCCCAGAAAGTTTGTCAAAAGAACATCTATAAACCTCGCCAACAATTTTTAAGCTCCGGAACGGGGAGGCCATAGACCCTCTATTCACGCCTCTCCCCATTAATTTGCTCTCCCTCATAGGCTTTTGTCGCCCTTTCCAATAAACTAGACCATTTTTTTTTTACTTCCACCTTTCTTCTTCCCTGTCCTTTTCCTTCTCCTTGTTCTCCACATGCTTGCCATCCTTCTCACAGCTCCAGGGTGTGCTCTTAAACACATGTGGCAGGTGCCAGCACGTGGTCCACGCCGCACGTGGTCCACGCCGGTCCAATCCAAATGGGTTTGAGATTCCACGGGAACTGGCCGTCAAGGCATCACAGAGTCGGATTCACCACATGCTATGCTTCGGAGCCACCGTTCAAGTGCATCACCAAGTGCAGCCTTCAATTTTGAGTCCGTTCTTGCCCCAGTTGTGTGAACACGACATATACTGTAGCGTTTAGGTCCAAGTTTAGGTGGTTTCAAGTGAGGCAGGAGGACTGTTCCAACATTTGCAGCGCTTTTCTATAGTTCTTCCCAGGTCTCTTCCACCACTAGGGTTCGGACCAAGGAAGGGTGCTCGCTGCACCTATTGTCATCAGCTGCACCCTTTGATCATCCGGCGTTCCAAGCTCCGTCGTGGGCCAAGAGAGAGGCAGGGAGAGTTGGATTGAAGAGCATCCTTGTTCCTAGTAGCTTCTTGTCCCTAGTAATTAGTACGGCCTGGAGCCCCTAGTAGCGTCTTTGCTCCTAGTGGCAATGCCAGGAGCCCCTAGTAGCTTCAAAGAGAGCTATATAAGCGCTTTGAGGATCTCGAGAGCCATCGTCGTGATTAGCAAATCGAGGCCCAGTCGCTTCCTCTGATCCCATAGGGTCCGATGTTCAAGCCACGGGGCAAGAGAGGGAGTTCCGTCCATTCCGCACCTTCTTCTCCACCACAGTGAGCCATTTGATGGGGAACGAGCCAGCTTGAACTTGACTAAGGATACTAAGGTCAAAGTCAAATGATGAATAACAGAACAGATCCCTAAGGGTCCCAGACCCGAACTAAAATGAATGGAAAGGGTCTTGAGAGTCCAGACTCCTGCTATAGAGGGTCCCCGGATCGTCTTGGCAGTTGCTCATTTCCAATCCTTAAATCATTCGCTCCAGGCGGCTCCAGGACTCTTGAAGAACACATCCAGCGTTTGGCCGTTCGCTGACCGATGTTCACACAACCCACCGACGAGCAACATCGTGTCGAGGATCTCCAAGAGGATTCTGCTCCTGTTCAGCGTCGACGACCTGGATCTTGCGCAAGCGCCTTGGGCGTTTGCCGATCCACGATCCAGACGCTTTGGGCGTGCGGTTTCACGGGTGCTACTTTTTTGGTGTGCCCTTCTGGGTGCAGGCATCCAATAGCTCACCTGCTTGGGGATGGTGCAGGTGTAGCAGGGAACTTGGATTGTCGGAACAAGATCCACCGGTACTTCGACGCCTCCGAGTTCAACGATGGGACTGGGAAGAACAACATCTTCCGGTCATATCGATCATAGTTCGCACACTCTTCCGGACAATTCTGGGTTTAGCTTGATAGGGTCGATTCATGTGTAATGGTAATTCTGCCGGGTCCCATGGGACGGTCTGGGTACATCATAGTTGAGTACTGAGTAGCAGGGCAAAGACGACATGCTTGGATCGTTTTCCCCCTCGGCCGGGGAAGTTGGGTTTTGGTCAGCTCAACACAGTGGCAGTACCGATGCAGTGGTGCCTGTTGGTTGTTTGGACCCAAAGGACAAGGCGGGCTGAATATGAGCATTGAATACCTATCCTGAGTGTTCCAAAAAGGCGGGGTGGTGGCCGCGTTTGGTCCATTTGATCACTATGCTGCGAGTATCTCTTTTGACCCGGGTCCTCTTTCTTCATGGCAATGTTCTTGGAAGGAACACAGGGCCATCGGAAGATCTTTGGACAAGTAGCTCTTGAAGCCCTTGAGCAGGTCTTTTCCTTTTGTTTTTCATTGAAGACCTATGCGTTTTTAGTTTTTTTTCCACATGATCCTCAGTGGAGTCACCCAAAAGAGTTTCTCAACGGAAGGCGGTTGTGAGTTCAGGCTCTC